CTTCGGCNGTTATCGCTTCAGTCTCCTCTGACAGAAAATTGTTAATTTTGAAAGAGTTGCATACAAAACGAAGCATTTCATTTCGAGAGGTTGAAAACAATAGCCGGTTATCTTTAAAAGTGATAATTGACGTATCGATACTGACAAGAGACGTGTCAAAATTATCTTCAATAGTAGGATTTTATTCGTTAATTCTCCGTTACGGTACGCCAACTGTCAATTTTGATGCGTCAATTGACAGTTTCTGTGCGTAAACTGACAGTTGAAAGTCACAAAATAGGCGAAAACATAAACGGTAGCTGAATTTGAACCTAGAAACTGTTTTCAGCTGCCAAGCAAAGGGTTATGACAGTCATTATCCGAAGATGATTGTGGATAAGTCGGAAACTTCGTGAAGTAACTTGATTTGAATTATTTTTTTCTAATTACCTATTCTGTAGTCATTTTCATCTTCAGTGGCGGCGTGAGCGTGGGCCAACGCCCACGGCCTCGCAATGCCACGGCCTCAAAGCCGAAAATTCTTTTTTAAAGGATTCCAAAAGTACACGCCATGATTTTTTTTATAATTAATACATTAGAAAATTCTCAACCCAAAATTATTCCACTCTTCGGCGCACGAAATCATTTGAAGGAAAAATTCGTAATTATATTTCTTTTTCTGATAAACGATATTATATATTATAAAATTATTAACGCGTGTCAATACCATAAGCAAATTATGGCAATCTGTACAAGTCTATTTAAGCATTACTCTTGAACAAAGAATATCGACAAATTGCTTACGAAAAATTATTGTCTGACGCTCAGCAGTTTATTGAGGAAAGCAATTATGATTTGCCCAAAGATTTTACTAGTAAAAGGATATCCAAAAACAAAAAGATGTTTGATTATGAATGCCGCTATCAACCTTCAGTCAAAAACCGGTATGAAACAATTTTTTTTATTACCATGAATCATTCTGTGATTAGCAATATGGATTCGAGATTTGTCTTTAAATCAAAACTTTGAAAATTTTGTATATGATGGAATTGGCCGATACTTGATGAAAATCCTTAACTAACGTATTCAAAAAACACGCCCGAAGAAGCCAATTGTTTGGCGAAACACGTGTTGCGTTTTTGTAAAATCGTGTAGTAAAAATCTCACAATATAGTGTTTTTTGAATACGATTGAAAATTTTGGTTTTCTCTATGACTTAAACAAGTTTAAAAAATCCAGAAGAACAAATACCTTCCTGCTGAAAAACTGTCAAATATACTTCTCATCCCAACTTCGAATTTAATCAAGGATTCCATATACTATAATGGCGGTAAGTTGTTCAATCATTTACCACTAGAAATAAGATTTGCAAATCTAAGCAACATTCATTTCAAAAAGGCGGGGAAGAACCTACTTGTTGATATACCCTATTATAGTTTGGAAGAGTATTTTAGCGAATACTTTTAACAATATATCAGCAATTTATTCTTTGTACTATTACTTTATAAGTAAATGGTGGTATTTTATATATACATTTTTAGTTTTTTTTTATATCTACATTTATACTTCTTTAATACTTTTTCTATATTTAACATTGTATTTCTTGGACTTTGTCAATAAGATGCAAATCTTGGGAGAATAAAGTATATTTTGATTTGATTTGAGCAGCAAATCACTTCCTTGCAGGAA